GGTCCTGTTCTCAGCCTCAAAAATCCCAAAAAAATCCCCAAAAATCCCCCCCAAAAAATCCCAAAAAAATCCCAAAAAATCCCAAAAAAATCCCCCAAAAAATCCCAAAAAATCCCCAAAATTCCCAGATTTTTCCCAGAATTCCCAGATTTTTCCCAGAATTCCCAGATTTCCTCGGAATTCCCAGATTTTCCCCGGAATTCCCGGCTTTTCCCGGGTCTCCAGGTGGGCTACGAGCTGAAGGAGGAGATCGAGCGCAGCGAAACCCCAAAAAAAATCCCCCAAAAATCCCCAAAAAATCCCCAAAAAATCCCCAAAAATCCCCAGAATTCCCAGATTTTTCCCAGAATTCCCAGATTTTCCCCGGAATTCCCGGCTTTTCCCGGCTCTCCAGGTGGGCTCTGAGCTGAAGGAGGAGATCGAGCGCAGTGAAACCCCAAAAAATCCCCCAAAAATCCCAAAAAAATCCCAAAAAAATCCCCAAAAATCCCAAAAAATCCCCAAAAATCCCAAAAAAATCCCCCAAAAAATCCCAAAAAATCCCCAAAATTCCCAGATTTTTCCCAGAATTCCCAGATTTTTCCCAGAATTCCTGGAATTCCCGGATTTTCCCAGAATTCCCGGCTTTTCCCGGCTCTCCAGGTGGGCTACGAGCTGAAGGAGGAGATCGAGCGCAGCGAAACCCCAAAAATCCCCCCAAAAATCCCAAAAAAATCCCCAAAAATCCCCAAAAATTCCCAAAAAATCCCAAAAAATCCCCAAAAATCCCCAAAAATCCCCAAAAAATCCCCCAAAATCCCCAAAAATCCAAAAAAAATCCCCAAAAAATCCCCCAAAAATCCCCCCAAAAATCCCAAAAAATCCCCAGAATTCCCAGATTTTTCCCAGAATTCCCAGATTTTCCCCGGAATTCCCGGCTTTTCCCGGGTCTCCAGGTGGGCTACGAGCTGAAGGAGGAGATCGAGCGCAGCGAAACCCCAAAAAATCCCCCAAAAAATCCCCAAAAATCCCCAAAAAAATCCCCAAAAATCCCCCAAAAAATCCCAGAATTCCCAGATTATTCCCAGAATTCCCGGATTTTTCCCAGAATTCCCGGAATTCCCAGATTTTCCCCGGAATTCCCGGCTTTCCCCGGCTCTCCAGGTGGGCTACGAGCTGAAGGAGGAGATCGAGCGCAAGTTCGACAAGTGGCAGGAGCCGCCCCCGGTCAAGCAGGTGAAGCCGCTGCCGGCGCGCCGCCCCCGGTCAAGCAGGTGAAGCCGCTGCCGGCGCCGCTCGACGGCCAGAGGAAGAAGAGAGGGGGCCGCAGGTGCCTTAATTAACGCTAATTAGCACTAATTAACCCTTGAGTAGCCTTGATTCATCCTTACTTAGCCTTAATTCGTCATTAATTAGCGTTAATTCGTCCTTACTCGGCTCCTAATTGATCCCTGGGGAGCAGAGGAAGAAGAGAGGGGGCCACAGGTGCCTTAATTAGCACTAATTAGCACTAATTAACCCTTGATTAGCCTTGATTCGCCCTTAATTAGCGTTAATTTGTCCTTAATTAGCCTTAATTCATCCTCAATTCGTCCTTACTCGGCTCCTAATTGATCCTTGGGGAGCAGAGGAAGAAGAGAGGGGGCCGCAGGTGCCTTAATTAGCACTAATTAGCACTAATTAACCCTTGATTAGCCTTGATTCATCCTTAATTAGTAGCCTTAATTCATCCTTAATTAGTGTTAATTTGTCCTTAATTAGTTTTAATTTGTCCTTAATTAGCGTTAATTCGTCCTTACTCAGCTCCTAATTGATCCCTGGGGAACAGAGGAAGAAGAGAGGGGGCCGCAGGTGCCTTAATTAGCGCTAATTAGCACTAATTAACCCTTGAGTAGCCTTGATTCATCCTTAATTAGCCTTAATTCGTCATTAATTAGCGTTAATTTGTCTTTACTCGGCTCCTAATTGATCCCTGGGGAGCAGAGGAAGAAGAGAGGGGGCCGCAGGTGCCTTAATTAGCGCTAATTAGTGCTAATTAACCTTTGATTAGCCTTAATTCATCCTTAATTAGCCTTAAATCATCATTAATTAGCGTTTATTTGTCCTTAGCTCCTAATTGATCCTTGGGGAGCAGAGGAAGAAGAGAGGGGGCTGCAGGTGCCTTAATTAGCGCTAATTAGTGCTAATTAACCTTTGATTAGCCTTAATTCATCCTTAATTAGCCTTAATTTGTCCTTCATTGGCTCCTAAGGTCTTACCAAATTCTTGCTTTTCTCCTAATTAACCCAAATCAATCTCTAATTAGTCCCCTAATAAACGCCTTATTTTTTCTTAATTATCTGCCTTTACCCCTAATTATTTTTAACTCCTTAATGAACTTGTAATCAACTCTAATCATCTCCTAATTAACCCCTTAATCGCTCCCCAATTAACACCCTAATTAACTGTTAATTAGCCTTTAATTAACAGTTAATTAGTCGCCCAATTAACGGTTAATTAGCCCCCTAATTAACGGTTAATTAGCCCCTAATGAACGGTTAATTAGCCCCTAATTAACGGTTAATTAGCCCCTAATTAACGCAGGTACCGGAAGATGAAGGAGCGCCTGGGGCTGACGGAGATCCGCAAGCAGGCCAACAGGATGAGCTTTGGGGAGGTAATTAACGCTAATTAACCCTAATTAACGCTAATTAATCACCCCAATCCCATTTTTACCTTCCTGGGATCCCCAAATCCCATTTTTTATTCGTTTTCTTCCCGTTTTTCCCACTTTTAATCCCATTTTTAACTCGTTTTTTTCCCGTTTTTCCTCCCTTTAACCCCATTTTTAACCCCTCTGAATCCCATTTTTTACTCGTTTTTCCCGTTTTCCCCACTTTTAACCCAATTTTAACCCCCCCAAATCCCATTTTTTACTCGTTTTTCCCATTTTTTAATCGTTTTTACCCATTTTTCCCACTTTTAACCCCATTTTCCCCTCAGATCAAGAGGCCTACCCGGATGACCCAAGACCCCTAATCCCCAATTTTCCTCATTTTAACCTTTCCAAATCCCATTTTTTACTCATTTTTTCCCATTTTCCCCACTTTTAACGCAATTTTAACACTCCCAAATCCCATTTTTTACTCATTTTCCCCATTTTTCGCTCATTTTTTCCCATTTTTCCCACTTTTAACCCCATTTTCCCCTCAGATCAAGGAAGAGGCCTACCAGGACAACCCAGGCTTTGGCCTGGTACCACCTGGGACCCTCCAACCTCATTTTTCCCCACTTTTTATCCAAATTTTTCTTCTAAAACCCCACTTTAATTTCTCCAAATCCCATTTTTTACTCATATCCAAATTTTTCTTCTAAAACCCCACTTTAATTTCTCCAAATCCCATTTTTTACTCATTTTTCCCATTTTTTACTCCTTTTTTCCCATTTTCCCCACTTTTAACCCCATTTTCCCTCAGATGAAGGAAGAGGCCTACCAGGACAACCCGGGCTTCGGCCTGGGACCATCTGGGACCCTCAAAACTCATTTTTTTCCCCTCTTATACAAATTTTTCTTATAAAACCCCACTTTAATCTCTCCAAATCCCATTTTTTACTAATTTTTCCAGCTTTTTACTCCTTTTTTCCCATTTATCCCACTTTTAACCCCATTTTCCCCTCAGATGAAGGAAGAGGCCTAGCAGGACAGCCCGGGCTCTGGCCTGGGACTCCCAAACTCATTTTTCCTTCTTTAACCCAAGTTTTTCTTGTAAAATTCCATTTTAACCCCTCCAAATCCCATTTTCCTCCCTTTTAACCCCATTTTAATCCCTCCAAATCCCATTTTTTGATCATTTTTTCCCATTTTCCCCACTTTTAACCCCATTTTCCCCTCAGATCAAGGAAGAGGACTCCGGCTTGGGCCTGGAACCCCCAAATCCCATTTTCCCCCTTTTAACCCCATTTTAACCTTTCCAAACTCCATTTTTTACTCATTTTTTCCCATTTCCCCACTTTTAACCCCATTTTAGCATCCCGAAATCCCATTTTTTACACATTTTTCCCCATTTTCCCATTTTTAACCCCATTTTCCCCTCAGATCAAGGAAGAGGCCCAGCAGTAGGACTCAAGCTTTAGCCTGGGCCACCTGGGACCCTCAAACCCCATTTTCCCCTCTTTGAACCCCATTTTTACCCCTCCAAACCCCATTTTTTTTCCATTTTTCCCACTTTTAACCCCTCCAATCATAATTTTTTCCTGTTTTCCCCACTTTTAACCCCATTTTCCCCTCAGATCGAGGAGGACGCTTACCAGGAGCACCTGGGTTTCAGCCTGGGCCACCTGGGACCCCCAAACCCCATTTTTCCTCCATTTAACGCTGTTTTAACACCCTCAAACTCCATTTTTCCCCCTTTAGCCCCATTTTCACCTTCCCAAACCCCATTTTTTCCTCATTTTTTCCCATTTTCCCCACTTTTAACCCCATTTTCCCCTCAGATCAAGGAAGAAGCCTAGCAGTAGGACTCCGGCTTCGGCCTGGGACCATCTGGGACCCTCAAAACTCATTTTTATCCCCTCTTATACAAATTTTTCTTATAAAACCCCACTTTAATCTCTCCAAATCCCATTTTTTACTAATTTTTCCAGCTTTTTACTCCTTTTTTCCCATTTATCCCACTTTTAACCCCATTTTCCCCTCAGATGAAGGAAGAGGCCTAGCGGGACAGCCTGGGCTCTGGCCTGGGACTCCCAAACTCATTTTTCCTTCTTTAACCCAAGTTTTTCTTGTAAAATTCCATTTTAACCCCTCCAAATCCCATTTTCCCCTCTTTTAACCCCATTTTAATCCCTCCAAATCCCATTTTTTGATCATTTTTTCCCATTTTCCCCACTTTTAACCCCATTTTCCCCTCAGATCAAGGAAGAGGCCTACCAGGACAACCCAGGCTTTGGCCTGGTACCACCTGGGACCCTCCAACCTCATTTTTCCCCACTTTTTATCCAAATTTTTCTTCTAAAACCCCACTTTAATTTCTCCAAATCCCATTTTTTACTCATTTTTCCCATTTTTTACTCCTTTTTTCCCATTTTCCCCACTTTTAACCCCATTTTCCCTCAGATCAAGAGGCCTACCCGGATGACCCAGAACCCCTAATCCCCATTTTTCCTCATTTTAACCTTTCCAAATCCCATTTTTTACTCATTTTTTCCCATTTTCCCCACTTTTAACGCAATTTTAACACTCCCAAATCCCATTTTTTACTCATTTTCCCCATTTTTCGCTCATTTTTTCCCATTTTTCCCACTTTTAACCCCATTTTCCCCTCAGATCAAGGAAGAGGCCTACCAGGACAACCCAGGCTTTGGCCTGGTACCACCTGGGACCCTCCAACCTCATTTTTCCCCACTTTTTATCCAAATTTTTCTTCTAAAACCCCACTTTAATTTCTCCAAATCCCATTTTTTACTCATATCCAAATTTTTCTTCTAAAACCCCACTTTAATTTCTCCAAATCCCATTTTTTACTCATTTTTCCCATTTTTTACTCCTTTTTTCCCATTTTCCCCACTTTTAACCCCATTTTCCCTCAGATGAAGGAAGAGGCCTACCAGGACAACCCGGGCTTCGGCCTGGGACCATCTGGGACCCTCAAAACTCATTTTTTTCCCCTCTTATACAAATTTTTCTTATAAAACCCCACTTTAATCTCTCCAAATCCCATTTTTTACTAATTTTTCCAGCTTTTTACTCCTTTTTTCCCATTTATCCCACTTTTAACCCCATTTTCCCCTCAGATGAAGGAAGAGGCCTAGCAGGACAGCCCGGGCTCTGGCCTGGGACTCCCAAACTCATTTTTCCTTCTTTAACCCAAGTTTTTCTTGTAAAATTCCATTTTAACCCCTCCAAATCCCATTTTCCTCCCTTTTAACCCCATTTTAATCCCTCCAAATCCCATTTTTTGATCATTTTTTCCCATTTTCCCCACTTTTAACCCCATTTTCCCCTCAGATCAAGGAAGAGGACTCCGGCTTGGGCCTGGAACCCCCAAATCCCATTTTCCCCCTTTTAACCCCATTTTAACCTTTCCAAACTCCATTTTTTACTCATTTTTTCCCATTTCCCCACTTTTAACCCCATTTTAGCATCCCGAAATCCCATTTTTTACACATTTTTCCCCATTTTCCCATTTTTAACCCCATTTTCCCCTCAGATCAAGGAAGAGGCCCAGCAGTAGGACTCAAGCTTTAGCCTGGGCCACCTGGGACCCTCAAACCCCATTTTCCCCTCTTTGAACCCCATTTTTACCCCTCCAAACCCCATTTTTTTTCCATTTTTCCCACTTTTAACCCCTCCAATCATAATTTTTTCCTGTTTTCCCCACTTTTAACCCCATTTTCCCCTCAGATCGAGGAGGACGCTTACCAGGAGCACCTGGGTTTCAGCCTGGGCCACCTGGGACCCCCAAACCCCATTTTTCCTCCATT